GGAGCAGCTCCTCGGGCAGGTCGCCGCCGTCGTTGATGCCCCAAAACCCCCAAAATTCCCATTTTTTCACCTTTTTCTCCCCAAATCTCGCCCAAATCTCGCCCAAATTTGCCCAAATTTCCCCAAATTTTGCCCAAATCCCCCCAAATTCGGGGCGCACCCGGAGCAGCTCCTCGGGCAGGTCGCCGCCGTCGTTGATGCCGCGGTTCATGGCCACGAAGCGCTCGGCCGAGGGTTTGTCGCGCACGTTGGGGTTGTGCAAACTCGTGTTCAGCATGATCACGGCGAAGGAGAGCACGTAGCACGTGTCTGGGAAAACCCAAAATCCCGAATTTCAGCGGGAAAACAACGCAAAACACGCGGGGTTTACATCGAAAAGCCCTAAAAATACGCGGTTTTATCCGGGAGTTTGGTAAAATTCGCATTTTTAACACCAAAATAGGTAAAAATCCGCGTTTTTAACCAGGAATTCGGTAAAAATCCGCATTTTTAACATCAAATTCTGTAAAAATCCACATTTTTAACCAGGAGTTCGGTAAAAATCCGCATTTTTAACACCAAAATAGGTAAAAATCCGCATTTTTAACACAAAAATAGGTAAAAATCCGCATTTTTAACCAGGAGTTTGGTAAAAATCTGCGTTTTTAACACCAAAATAGGTAAAAATCCGCGTTTTTAACACCAAATTCTGTAAAAATCCACATTTTTAACCAGGAGTTCGGTAAAAATCCGCATTTTTAACACCAAAATAGGTAAAAAGCCGCATTTTTAACACCAAATTCTGTAAAAATCCACATTTTTAACACCAAATTCACTAAAATTCCACATTTTTAACCACGAGCTCAGTAAAAATCCACGTTTTTAACACCAAAATAGGTAAAAATCTGCATTTTTAACACCAAAATAGGTAAAAATCCACATTTTTAACCAGGAGTTTGGTAAAAATCCACATTTTTAACACCAAATTCTGTAAAAATCCACATTTTTAACACCAAATTCTGTAAAAATCTGCATTTTTAACCACGAGTTCAGTAAAAATCTGCATTTTTAACCACGAGTTTGGTAAAAATCCGCATTTTTAACACCAAAATAGGTAAAAATCCACATTTTTAACCAGGAGTTTGGTAAAAATCCGCATTTTTAACACCAAAATAGGTAAAAATCCGCATTTTTAACACCAAATTCTGTAAAAATCCACATTTTTAACACCAAATTCACTAAAAATCCACATTTTTAACCACGAGTTCAGTAAAAATCCGCATTTTTAACCAGGAGTTTCGTAAAAATCCACATTTTTAACACCAAATTCTGTAAAAATCTGCATTTTTAACACCAAAATAGGTAAAAATCCACATTTTTAACCAGGAGTTTGGTAAAAATCCGCATTTTTAACACCAAAATAGGTAAAAATCCACATTTTTAACATCAAATTCAGCAAAAATTCACATTTTTAACACCAAATTCGGTAAAAATC